CCAATAGAAGGTGTTGTAGTATTTTGTTGCTTCATTTCCACATAGTGCAGCATTAAACAATTCATGTGCTCTAGTTTAACCACACTTGTCTCAATTAAGCTCCAAAAAGAGAGGAGAGGAGGGGAATGGGAGAGGTCTTAGGTGAACAGAGCAGTCAAACTTGTGAAAGCAAGGTAGGGCAGACCTAGGGAGCTCATGGGAGGGCTACAACACTGTGTGACAGTTGTGCTGTTCCTGATCCACAGGCACTGCTCTCTGTTTCTAACTCTTACAATTCTCTCTTCCAGAACTCATCTACAAAGAAGTAATGAATTCTGAAGAAAAGACTAAAAATGGCGTAGTAAAAGGACAGCCTTCTCCTTCAGGTACTCAGCCCCATTGAATTGCCTTGGTGTGTTTTATGTACTGACAAAAATAGTGTATATTTATCTGAAAGGAGGGTGTCAAAAGGATGGAACCAGGCTCTTCTCAGTGGTGCCAAGCAGTAAGCAAGAGGCAGCAGGCAGAAGTCTTCACTGCCCAGCTGTAGTTTCATACCTAACATTTTCAACTGTCTTCTCCTTTCTGGATACTGAATATAGTAAACAGCACTGATCTTAGTGCAGCTTATTCTTCACACGCCTTTTCTTGCTGAAAAGGGTTCTTTTATTCTTCCTTTCCTGGCTTATAATTGCTGTCTGATTTGGTCAGTTTTGTTGCTATGGCCCAGGAACTCCTGGATACCTGTGGCAGCCTTCTGTCATATGCAGGGTCTCAATGAAGTAGCTGATAGACTTGCCAAGCACTGTGACAATTGCTAGCAAGGGTTACTAAGTACACAATTTATAAGGAGCTGAGCAAATCCCTAAGATAAATATAGGGCCTTTTTTGGAAACAGCAAAAGCTTCAGTTCTCTTTTTAGGTTTTTCATCTCTACCACTTCACAGCTGAAGTCTTGGAGGCACTTCCATTCATGCCAGTTAAACAGGAGCCCTCTAAGCAAGGAATCGCTGTTTTACAGCAGGAAAGTTTGTGTGTGGCTTAAAAGAGTAGCTGTCAAATCACTGGCAGAGCCTAGAAAAGATCCCAGGAGCTGTTTCTCACCTGCTCTAACCTTTAGCTCTTTTCCTTAATCCTGCAGCCAGTGAGAAGCTTCCTGTCAACCAGCAAATTCATAAATGGGGCTGTTTTTCTCTTTGAATGCAGCTCTGTCATTTCTGTGCTGTCTCACCTGGCACCTATCCCTTCAGGAACAAGCTGTTGTAGCATCAGGCAGGGGCTGAGCATAGTAAATGAGGCATTACTTACTGCCTGGGTCAGCTTTTGGCTGGGTTTCTGAGTGTTACTGCATAGGTGCTGCTTTGTGCTGCTGAATTCTTGAATTCTGTCACTTAGGTTTAGTGTGGTTTCATTTGGTTTGGTGGATATTTTGTGAGTCTGGGTGCTTTGGAGCTGCAACAGCAACTATCATGTCTGTGTGTCTGTGGAATAGTGCTGAAAGCTAGGAATAACCAGAAAACTGCAATTTCAAGAAACTGAGGGGCTGAGCTACTAGTTGCTGGAAAGAACATAGCAGGGTTTACTGAATTCGGTGGTGCTGAATCAGAGTGTGAAAAAATGCTCACCTGAACAATTTCTACAGCTATTTCTTCAGTTATTTTGCATAGCTAAGTTGATTGTCCTTTCAGCACAGCAAGCTGCACAGCAACAGTTTGATCAAAACTCCATTTAACCTACTGAAATCCCTTCTGATTCCTGGGACAGTATCAATAACTTCATGTCAGGCTTCTGTCCAGCACAGTAAACATTTAGACATTTAGAATGGTAATATATTGTGTAGTCATTAATATAAATAAATTCAATCATTTTGCTCATAAATGCATTTCTCTTGACTGATTACTATTTTCATAAAATGCCACATGGTTAAATAACATGTAAACATGAAGTAACGGTGTTATACTAGATGATGAGGTACATATAATGAGGTGCATGAAAAGAACTCTTAGGAAAACAAGTCTTCAGCCAGAGAAAATAGATGATTGCTGTCTGCAGTCACCAGTCAGATTTCATTAACATTGTCCTGTCTTTTTGAAGCACTTAAAGACTTAAGTATTTTATTTTCCAAATGTATCAGGAGAATAAACTAATTTATGGGTAGTTCTGATGCTATAACATCTTTGTACTATAGCATAAAGCAGTTCCCATCTGGAGCTCTGAATGTGAGCATATCTGTCTCTGTTTTGTGCATATTTATAGTGGATGAGTATAAAGGAAAGAAAAAACTGAGCAATATAGAAGAGTGGTTAGAGGTACTGTATGGTGGCTTGTTTTTACACAGTAATATTTTTATTGCAAACTGTATAGTGACAGAAAACTTCTCCTTTTGCTTGTAACATCATATATTTTCCTAGTATAGATGGCTATTAATTTCTGCATTAAGAATATATGAGGTTTGTCATTTTACTGGATAATAATGTTCATTTCTGGCCATTTTGAGGAAAGGAAAGTCTGTAAAAGTGAGCTGAGAAAACCTTTCAGCCATAACAATGAAATGGTATCTATCTGCAGAACAAAGACCTCTGTGTCATGGTGACTAGCTGTGATTTCCAGCTGTGTGGTATTGTGCAAAATCACGTATTTTTTTGTCATTAATATTTAATGAAAATTAATGTATCCCTCCCAAACTGAAGACAGTGTAAATGTTGGTGGGAAGAGCATCACAAAACGTTGTCTGAAAGTTCAGTGGAAAGAAAATGCCAATCAAACTGTTATTTGCTACTCCGAGAACCTAAGTATGAGCTGAGGTTAATAGGCAGAGTAACAGTTGAGCAGCCTTAGGTGCAGCACAAACACATTCTTTACATGGCTCTGTATTTATCATTCAGTTATCTGTACTTATAGGACAGATAATTTCTGATAATATTCAGGGATGTGATAAATGTTCAGTCATGTTAATGATAATCTCAAGAAAGTACATTCTTCATTTCACAAAGTCAAAGTGATTTACTGGATAATACCTGGTGCCATCACAATTTTACAGTGGCAAGGCAAACTTGGTTGTACAAAAATACAGGCACAACTAAAATCCTGAGCTTAGTCACCTAGTCCTTAACTATGAGAAGGAAACCAGCCTTTCCTCCCCCACAGCCATCTTCTCTCTGCACTGCCACTAGGGGATTTGATCCTGCTATAAATAAGAAAATTGAAATTTTGTGAAAATGGATGGAGGATATTGTCGGGTGTTGGGGCCTGGCTAGCAGAGGAGCTGTAACCTGAGCAACAGTTAAAGGAATGCTTAACCAATTAAAAACAAGACCATTACAAAGTGTTGGACTGAAGACACAGGAATGCGTGAAGATAGAAACAAGGTCAGCAAGACCTACTTTGTGTGTCTTGTTTTAAATTGCTTAAGCATTCCTTTAACTGTTGCTCACGTTACAGCTCCTCTGCTAGACAGGCCCCAACAGTTGGGTTTGGGTTTTTTTTCAGTCATCTTGATGGTGGCTGTGTGATCCTAGCTGTCGGACATTGAGGGACTCTGAGAAGGTTAGAGTGACAAACACAACGTGAGATATAAAACAGAGCATTGCGAGAAAGAATTTCCTGGGAAAATATTTATATATTATCCAATACCTAAAATTTGTATGGTCCATTCTCTGCTAATGTTTGCCACAGTTTCAAGTGGTCTGCGTACTCACCAGGGCTATAAGTATCCTTTCCTTTTTGAAATGCGAGATGTTCTGGGGTTTCGGGTTTAATCACGTTGGTGTTCGTTTTCGTAGCACAGGTGCAGCAGTGAACAGCAGTGAAAGCCTCCCTCCATCCTCATCTGTCAACGACATCTCATCCATGTCCACGGATCAAACCCTGGCGTCTGACACAGACAGCAGCCTGGAAGCTTCTGCGGGACCCCTCGGTTGTTGCAGGTGACTAGCCGCCTGCCTGCGAAACCCAGCGTTCTTCAGAGGATGATGTCAATTAGGAGGAAAAAAAAATAATTAACGGGAGTTAAGAGATGAAAAGAAAGCTAAATAAAATACAAAGATTTAAACAAAAGAAAGAAACAAACACAAAAAAAAATCTTTTCAGCCTGCTTCTCCTACAGAGTTATGTAATGCAGCTAAGCTCAAGTGTATATTTAACTTATAGTTGCTCTGCTTTGGTCTTCTTCCAGTGATGCTTACTGGGGGGGAAAAGAAAAAAAAGGAACTGAAAAAAATCCTTTTTTTACCCCCTTCCCCATAAGATGTTAAATGAATGGCTGCAAAACCAGCAACCTGCAACTGTCCTTTTCACACTGGCATGACAAGGTGTGCAGTAGCCACTCTCAACCATACGAGTGTGTATCTGCAGTCACTCTCTGTTCTGCCATCTGCCCAGTGAGGCAGACAGGGAAACACATGCATTTTTCTTCTTCTGCAAATAGCACACACACACACACACACACGTGCCAATAGCATTCTGGCAGTGTCTGCAGCTGTGTGCCTATAGGAACATGCACATCTGCATACTTAGTGTGCACTCCACAACTCTAAATGGCCCATTTCAGGTGAACTTCATAGCCACACACATGATATTGCCAGTCTATATTCTATCTGTTTGCTCATGGAGGAGGTTGCATATCTTGTATGAGGACTTGTGGAAGTGTAAATAACCACACAGAACTGTCACTCCCTCAGACACTTGAAGATGTAGCACCAAAATTTCTGCTGAGAGTTGTATATATATTTTGAAATAATAAGCAGTTTTATTGAAAGAAGAAGCCACGGAGCTTCATAGAGAAAAAAATGTTTGTTTGTGAATGTTAAGACTTGTTGTTCTGATTTTTAGAGCAGATATGTCAAGCTAAGACCAGGTTAGAAGGAAGCACATGTATCTCTGCAAGCTACAGGGAACAAGAATGAAGGTTTTTTATGCATGTCTAAGCCCAGAAAGATTTATCTCAGTAAGCAACTTTTCCTGTCAATGTTAAGTGAGTTATCATCTTAGGTCATAGATAGGCTCCCTATTATGAATTACTTGTATGTTTGTATGTTAGAGGGTATGACAGGGTTGGGGAATGAGCAGATTATGGTCAAAAGGACATGCAGCAACATGTTGTTATTTTATGTCTAGATCTTTACTAGGTTAGATAGAGAAAAGATATTTGTGGCCCACTCCCTCTCAGTGTGTGTTTGAGGCTTAGAGGTTGTTTTCCCTTTAACTCATTCCCTTGCAGAGAGTCCTGCTACTAAAAGAACAGGCCCTCTCTAGGTGCTGTGGCTGTTCATTTGCTCATGACAAATAATCAGACTCCCCTGGAAGTTTTAGCAGCTGTGTTATGTAGAAAAGAACCACAGAGTGCATGGGTCTAGCATTCCCCTAAGTAATAGCAAAAGATTATCCATCAGCTAGTGCTCTGGGCTGAAAGGGTCACAGTAAGGGGTCTCAGGCAGTTTTGATGAGTTCCAAAGAACCCAACAGTGACTGAATACCAAATTGAATTTACCAGGTAATAACACACAGGATTTCCAGTGGTAGCAGCAAGTGTTTTTACCAGAGAATGGCAAAACTCCACACAGAATTTCAGAACAAGAGAATATTTTTCCAGCCGAAACTGCAAGGTCATCATTACCTGAGCTGGAAATGAACTCAAATCTCAGTCATCTGTCCTTTTACCAAAGTGTGCAATGTAAACTGAAATGAGCTAAATCATACTCTTAATGCCTTTCCAAATGCCAGAGAGAGAAACTGTTTAGACTATGTTAGTGGATATTTTAAATTCACTACTTCTTATGTATTCAAAATTCTACCAAAATAGGACTGTTCTATTGCGTGGCTTACAAGCCTGGCAGTCTGTGGTAGGGAAAAAAAATGAGTATCAAGCTAGATTTTGTTCACCGGGAAAAAAAAAGAGAAGAAAAAACTCCTCTCCAGTGTGAGGAGATAAAAATTAAGTGGATATAAAATGATTTCAGAGTTGGTAAGTCTGAGGTCTATCAGAATTACTGTAGGAAGTGTTTGGGTTTTTTCCTGGGTGTATTTTTGGTAGATTTTTATGGGAATTTTTTTGAGAATAAAATTAGGTCAATAATGTTCTAAAAACTCAGAGCAGTAATTTTAAAAGCAATAATTTACTACTGCTAAATATATTTAGCAATATTCTCTCTTAAGCCATGAAACATCAAATCATTATTGAGTAATGTAACTCTCACTTCAAAACCAACAATCATAAAAGTATTCAAAGGTTATCAGCAAAGCTCTGTAGGTATGTAGGCAATAACACCAAGGGTGACTTCTTAGCAATAATGAAACTTATCACTTCCAGATTTAATTCACCATAGGTATATATTAATAGTATTCAGGTAACTTTACATTCCTTAGTGTGCACCATTTGGGTGTGTTATTTAAACAAAACTTAAAAAAAAAGTGTCTCAAAGAGGCAAAGGTGTAAGAGAAACTGTAAAATATATCACAAAAGTAGACCATAGAAACTTGGAGTAATCACAGTTCATTGCCTGAGATATTATGGAGATGTGGCATAGGCAATAGCAGAGAAGCCATTTATAGTAGATGGATACTTACAGATCTCTCATGTTTCATCTCTTGAAGCCAAAAAACACACTCAGTCCCATGGTATAATTCAGTCTTGTTTGGGTTCATGAGTGCTGGGTGGGGAACCAGTCACCACAGCTGTCCTAGTGGGAGCACTAGATGAACCCACAACACAGGAGTTCTGTAGCTTTATTCCCAGCAGTCCTGTTTCCACGCAGCACCAGTGTTTGTTTGGATATCTAATGGAGACTCTAGGGATGCAAACACGATTTTAACTAGCACGTGCTTTTGTCCTTTGCTCAGCAGTTACTGACATCAGCATGTGCCTAAGTGCCTTGCTGAAACGGGGCCTGAAAGAATTACTGCACCTCTTTTTGTCCTCAAATTAGTTAGTCTGCTTTATGAAAAGCTCTGTATGGGGGAGGAGACTTGGAGCTGTCCACATTGGACACTAGAAAAAAAGCCATCAGTGAAGAAAAGCATTAATTCTTTCCAATTCTGGTCCTCGTATGTCCAAACTGAAGTAGTAACCATCAAGCAGGAATAGCATCCTTTGTCTTGCTTTGTGTCAGGAATGTGGTGCTGTCAGCTGATACCTTACAACAGTGCATGTACTCTGGAATAGAACATTGTAGGGATGATGTTCTGAGGTTGCATTAAGGTAAACAACATTTTTCTTTCTGATTCCTAAGTTTTGATACCCTTTTCTTCAAGATTATTCCCAACATTTTGTTCAGCTTGATAATGATAGATGGTATTCTTATTTTTGCTATTTAAATCTAGTTCTGCTTAAAATGTTACTAATATGGTACTTGTGCAACAATTTTCACTTAATTCTCTGAGATTTGCAGTCGTAAGCATAGTTGCCACCACTGCAGAGGTGAAGGAAATTGGGAAGCCAGAGGTCTATGACAGATATTCCAAGGTATTTAGGCATCAAATCAGACAGCAAGGTCTCTCTGATTGACTCTGCTCAGGGGCAATCAAAGAGCCTATGCCAGAGGTGGTATAACTTCCATCATCCTGAATGGCAGCTGGACATCTAGGTATTTTTGAAAACATGCCTAAGAGCCTATTGATATCTTAAGCGCCTGAATACCCAAAGAAATTCTGTCCCAAGTAACTTACTGAAGTCATGTATATAGCAATTAGCAGGTGAGGAGAAGAGCAACAGCATCTTAACTACCAATGGCTGCTCAGAGCACTAGCTGCAAGAAATAGCATTGAGAAGGTAGAGAGCAAAGTTGCTGCAAAACATTCCTGCCTTGTTTTCAGGTGGAATACTTCTGGATAGTAAACAAACAAACAAACAAGTCAGAATGGCTCTTAAAAGACCCTTCCTCCATTATCTTTCTCACTGCTGAGTTTAAATGAGGACGTGGCATTGTTTTACTTCAAGTTGAGGCAAGGTTATATGTTTTCAATGCAAAATTTTTGGTAACTTGAAAATAGTCTTCAGATACTGACTCGGTAGCTGCAATAGTATCTTTTGAGTTTTGACTGTATTCCTTTCAGATGTCATCTCTAGGGGGTTCAAATGTTTGAGTTGGTCACACACTGATTTCTGTGAATTGCCTTGTGGTTGATAATTCCCACACACTATCTAGAACTCCATGGCACAAAGAGATTCAGGAATCTTGGCAAGTTTGCATTATATAAAATGGAGCTTACACTGGAGAGCTAGTATGGTAATGTATCAAAAATAAAACCTACCAGAACCTACAGAAAACCTGATCAGGTTTTCCAAGCCCTAATGCACTGATGGTTTTCCTCTGGAAATCACCAATGCACCACGTTGGCCTCCAAAAATTACACAAGACAGATGATCATGTCACTATGTCACTCTTCCAAACTTATAACCCATAATAGGTTCATATGGTTTTATCTTCATATCTATTGCTTTAACTTCAAAGATTGGGCTAACAGAACTGAAGAAATTAGACTTGTTGCAGTGCCTTTAGGGAATTTTCCTAAGTAGTGCTACTTAACTGATTCGGACTGGGTTCCTAACTGGTGAGCACCAGTGATTTCTTTTCCACTAACATATTTTCTCATGGAAAAAAATGTGCTAATAGTAAATTTTAGAACTGCCTGAGAAAGTCACTTTCAGCAAATCTCCCAAATTTTCTATTTAAAAAAAAAAAAACAAATATTTTGACTGTCCTGAAATAATTTGGAATATTTTAATTCAAAATAACTTTTAGTAACCAATATTAGCTCACTTGTATTGCAAACTTTATAGCATTTCAAAGGATCAAAATTATTTTAATTTCAGATTTATCTATGTTTCTTTCTTGAGGCTTATTGAGATTTGAAAATTTTGTGTGAATTCTCAAACATGTAAAAACAAACAAACAAAAAGGCATTTTGCAACAAACTCTGTGCTTCCAGGGAGA